ATACAAGAAGAAAAAAGGAGAGACCTGGAGGTTATTCTCCTTGATATAAGCCCATATCTTTTTGAGGGCTTGGGTCCGCGGGATCTCCGCCTCGCCCACCACTGCCTGGAGTTCGGGCGACACTGGCCTGGACTTGGTAATTCCCCTCGGTCGCCGCTTCCCCGACGCATCCGGCGCCGCCTCCGCGGCAACGCGCGACGCCGCGGCGGCCAACCACCTCCTTGGCGGCAAGCAGCCGGGAAGGTGCACGGCCCGACGAGGGAGCGAGACGGCCCAAACGCGGTCGCTGGAGAAGAATGCCATAGGGAAGGTGATCGACGCCGCCATGGTCGGAGCTCCGGTCGCAGCGGAAGCGAGGGTTTAGTTTAGGCGTGGACGAAAGGAACGAAAGGGGATACGAAAAACGCAATGACGCATGGGGAGATAAGAGCGAACCGTCCTGGCGATTGGGGGAGAACCATAGCCGTTGGATCTATATCTCGCGGATAACGAGCGGTGGGATTAGTGTACAGCGAATACCAATATCCTCTATGGAGTATATACGAATAGGCTTATCGATCTCTCCGGTATACATATGCGTACGGAGAGCAATTGGAAAGGGCTTAAATGTGACAATTTGCTAGTCGGATAACAAAATAATTATTTATGATTTTGTACATATAAAACTAAATATTTACGTAATGCAAATGTACTAACATATGTATTCATAAATATGTACATGTCGGAAGCCTACTAGACGCTATGCAGGTGAGTCACATGAGAATAGATCAAAAATAAATTTGATAATAAACCATTCTTTATAACAACGAGAATAGTTCCTTATCACCCTCAATGACTCTTATTACTAAGACAAGCATCACAATGCATCATAGAATTAGTGGACTTAAAAAGAGGAAGAGAGTGACGAGATAATAATTTCTGCTGAATAAAGGATGAGGGATGACCAAGCCGACGATGCCACACATCAATTAGAGCCGCAACAGAAGAATGAACAGTGGGCTGGATTATTCGAGAGGTTGATGGTCATTCGTAAATGTTGTCTTTATTCGGG